TCTTAATGCATCGTGTTTCCTTCTGGAGCATCAGTGAATGTTTGAACCTTTTTTAATAGTTGTGTTTGAGTCCCTCAATTGTCCTCAGTGTGAAAAGATGGATCTCAAAATCATACAGTCACTGCTGGAAAGGGTTCAAATCTGCAAAAGACGCTGGAAAACTGAAGAATCTGCAGGAGCTGGAAGATTTTTCTGAAGAACAGTGCTCAGTTTAACTGTTCAGAACAAACAAGGGACTCATGAACAACCATCACAAAACAAAAAACAGTCATGGATCATCCAGGTAACCACAGAACCAAGCGTTCCCAAACTTTTGAATGGGGTTATTTTAATAATTTCAGCTATTTTTTTTGTCTTGTGGACTATATGCAAACATCTTTTATGTAAAATATCTTACTCAGGACAGTACTAAATAAAAAATAACATGCATTTTGTATGATCTCTCTTATTTTGTTAAAAGTATTCACATTTTCACAGATTCTGCAAGGGGTTCCCAAACTTTCGCATGCCACTGTATTCTGCATCCCTAATCCTACCCAATACCTAAAAATAAGCAGCAGATTAGGAGTTTATTGAGGCAAAAGTCATAGTTAATGGTTTGTTAATAGTGAGAACTGGACCTTAAAATAAAGCGTGACCAACAATTTTCTATATCATTTTATTTCTTTTGATTTTGGGTGAAATATGACAAGTGAAAAAAAAAACGTTTGAAATTCAGCTTCATGCCTCAGCAGCCAATGATTCACTGTGCAAAACACACTGTGGTCACACAAACCATATTTACCCTAACTGCCATCAAAACTGTATTATCATCTAATTTGTCATATTTTCCATCTAGTGTAGTTTTGTTTATAGTTTTGAGGATGAGGGTGTCACTCAATCTGTCCATCTGTCAAATTGGACTAGATTCTCTTTCCTAGTTAAGTCTGTTCATTTTTTTATATGATTAGTTGCATTTTATTATTTGCATTGAACATTGATTTTTCCAGCTCAGAATAGATCTGCCACCCATTCCAGCAGCTTTAGATACAGTATATATTCACGTCTCACCAGAAGGCTTGTTCTCACAGTGACGATCAGTTTGAGCCAGTTGGGGAACTTGGAGATGATCTTGGTGATGAAGGAGGCGACAGTGTCACCATAGTCCGGTTTGTGAAACTCCGCCTCGTTCAACCCATCAATCAAGATGATGCAATCTTCCTCTGGAATCTTCCTCTCTGATAAACAACAGAAAAAGTACATACATCACATACATTATACAAAACATTAATTAAATACATTAATGCCAAATTGCAAAGTGTTTTATAAAGGTAAAGCAGAGCTTTTATTGGATTTTTAATATATATATATATATATATATAATTGTTTTACCTTTTTTGTAAAGGGCAATGACTTTTTTTGCATGTTCGATTTGTAAACACTGGGTCGGTACTTCCACCTACATCACGCATGACCTTTCCAACATCACCTAATAAAGACGTGCATGCACATCGCAGAGCTAATGCAAGACAAGCATTTGTGGTTAAAAAGTGTATAAATATAATCATTTTGCCAGATAAGACCCTTATTCCTCGGCTGGGATCATGTAGAGCCCTTTGAAGCTGCATTGAAACCGCATTTTGGACTTTCAAATCATTGGCCACCATTGAAGTCTACTATATGGAGAAAAATCCTGGAATGTTTTCCTCAAAAAACTTCATTTCTTTGCAGCTGAAGAAAGAAAGACATGAACATCTTGGATGACATGGGGGTGAGTAAATTATCAGGATATTTTTATTCTGGAAGTGAACTTATCCTTTAATCTTAGTTAATGTCTACTAATATCAATCTCAACATTTACAAATACGTTTGTAAGATCAAAAGTTGCATCTGTTAACGTTAATTAATGCAACATGAACATTTGTATTATTTAACATTAATGGAGATTAATAAATGCTGTGAAAATATACTGATAATGTCAGCTCATGTTAGTTAATGCATTACCTAACCTAAGTGTTACCATAATAATAATAGGAATAAAACAATTTTTCAGTCTAACGGTGCAGTTCAGTAGTCTAGCTGTAGCGGTCCATGGCTTATGGTCAACAAAATAATCCTTTTGTGCATTAATTAAAATAAAAATGTCACAGGTATGTGTTTTTCTGCAGCTTCAAATGCAGCTTGTCCAGTTCGAGTCAGAAATATCCATTAATAGATGGTAAAATACCAAGAAAGAGGTGGAGAGAGAGCAGAAGAGTTTCAGCACTAATGAGTCTCCGGTGTACGAGCGAAATCTCTCACGCTACTTTACATCTGAATCTTGAGTCCGGCTCTAGACGTGCAATGGCTTGTTCTTTTCTTTGAGTTATTGTGGTTATTATATTTATTCTGCCCCTGCTAAAACATGAGGAAGTTTTCCATGCAGATGAGACTGACTTAAATAAGCAACTTATTCAAAATACAATATTAATCACTCTGCAATAGAATGAAAGTGAGACTTAATGAGGAGCACAGATCAATCCACTTCACAATTAAAGTCTTCAGATGCGGCATGTCTTTGTTTAGCCTTAAATGAAGCATCACCCTTCGGATCCGTCAGGAGTCACTTTAATAATTCATTACACACGGGATCTGAGCGACTTCCCAGAGCCGAGCTGTCGCAGCAGAATAACACAGAGACGGAGAAATAGTTCTTCAGCGAGCAATACATCAAGAGCTGCACTTCCTCTGCTTTCAAATATTATTTGAATGAGGAATACGGCCGAGCAGCATCAATAAAGCATCTCTGCTTTTAAAGCTCCACCACAAATCTCTGCGCTGACTTCTTCATGGCATGACGGAGAGATTCAGCCAAAGCACTTCCCCGAGAGTCGGTTTCAGTAAGACACTGTGTGGTGTAGCGGACATTCAGAAAAAACACATTATCAGTAACTGACTTATTTTGTAGGAAATGTTCTATTCTAAAAAAAATCTTAAAACAAGAATCAATTTACTTGAAGCAAGACTGCATAACGTATTAAGACTCGTTTTCAAAGAATATATCAATAAATTATAAATCTCATAATTGAGATTTTATAAATGTCATGAGTTATATTTTGCAAGCAAGCAAATAAACAAATAAATACTGGAAATTTTATTTTTATCTTGTTATAAGCACAACTCTATTATATTATCTAATAATAATAATAATTCATTACATTTATATAGCACTTTTCTAGGCACTCAAAGCGCTTTACATTGTGAGGGGGGGTCTCCTCATCCACCATCTACTGTAGTATGCTGATATATAAATATACGAGAGAGTATATAAATATGTATCAATAATAATAATAATAATAATAATATATATATATATTTTTATATACTCCTCTCTTAAAACACTAACCTTAAAATATAAAAATGAATTAATTAAATTAATAAATAAAAATGTGTATTGGGCTACAAACTGGTTCCTGTAATTTTACTACATATTATAATACGTGTATTAGATTTAATCTTATAACGAGGCAAAAAAAAACCCACTGGAGAAAAAAACTTCAGACAAAAATAAAAATTAATGAAGAAACATAAAAAAACAAAATTACTCAAGAAAACATATTATATAAATATATATCAACAATAATATTTATTTTATATACTCTATCTTAAAATATATAAAAAAAAAATATATATATATATTTTGTGTATTTAGCTGCAAATAGGTTCCCGTTTTATTCATTTATTTATTTTACTATATACAGTATTATAATATGTGTATTAAATTTAAGCTTTTACTGAGGCAAGAAAATCCCAATAGAGAAACATAAAATAAAAATGACTTATGAAAACACTTTTTTTTTTTTTTTGCAACGAGGGCAGAGCAGAGGATAGTTTCCATCAAGGTTTGTCGTCTCTCCTCTTGAGGCCATATTGATCCAAAGCATCTTCCATTACATTTATATAGCACTTTTCTAGGCACTCAAAGCGCTTTACATTGTGAGGGGGGGTCTCCTCATCCACCATCTACTGTAGTATGCTGATATATAAATATACGAGAGAGTATATAAATATGTATCAATAATAATAATAATAATAATAATAATATATATATATATTTTTATATACTCCTCTCTTAAAACACTAACCTTAAAATATAAAAATGAATTAATTAAATTAATAAATAAAAATGTGTATTGGGCTACAAACTGGTTCCTGTAATTTTACTACATATTATAATACGTGTATTAGATTTAATCTTATAACGAGGCAAAAAAAAACCCACTGGAGAAAAAAACTTCAGACAAAAATAAAAATTAATGAAGAAACATAAAAAAACAAAATTACTCAAGAAAACATATTATATAAATATATATCAACAATAATATTTATTTTATATACTCTATCTTAAAATATATAAAAAAAAAATATATATATATATTTTGTGTATTTAGCTGCAAATAGGTTCCCGTTTTATTCATTTATTTATTTTACTACATACAGTATTATAATATGTGTATTAAATTTAAGCTTTTACTGAGGCAAGAAAATCCCAATAGAGAAACATAAAATAAAAATGACTTATGAAAACACTTTTTTTTTTTTTTTGCAACGAGGGCAGAGCAGAGGATAGTTTCCATCAAGGTTTGTCGTCTCTCCTCTTGAGGCCATATTGATCCAAAGCATCTTCCATTTCCATCATACAAACACAGGGCTTGTTTATCTGCGTCTGAAACGCACACTTCTACAATAAAATATCGATCGAGCTGAGCAAAAGACTGGACCGCCACATAAAACAAACCACAATGACCTTGAGATCTCAGAGACTCGGAGAGAGCCTGAGCCTAAAGAGAAAATAAATGCACGGATGATGCAGGAAAGACCTATAGATGATCAAGAGGAAAACCGAGGCTTTCATTCCTCTTCATGACACGTGAGAGGGAGGATGTCAATCATTAAGGAAGGAATTTAACTATTTCTGATTTCTGTTAAAGATTCCAGTGTTTTTGAAAGAATGTAGACAAACTATTAACAAAACCAAATGTCTTGAAAATCTTTCGGTTCCAGTATTCTCTTTATAAACTGAAACCGGTTCTTGATTACCAACCAGTAGATTTAATTCACTTCACTGAAACAATTCCATTTCTAAGAAATAAACGTTGGCCAGTACATAAGAGCGTATGTGCTAACAGGCTTGGGAAAACGGATTTCACTGCATTTAATGCATCAACCAAGCAAATCCACCCCATTCATATAATCTGACCATCTGCTAAACATCGAACACATGACATCTGATTCATCCGGTGTGATACAACACTTCATTCCATGATGTTCCTTCTGTCCATATAACCTTCTCTGAACTGTAACGGATGCAGGAAGAGCTAAAATATTAATCACTCAATTATGGAATTAACATCAACAATTTTAATTCCATAATGTAGTGTATTTCTGAGTGAAATGCACGCAAGGACTGTTTTGATGGCATTGTTTTCTTTACAATCATGTGCAATTGATGGGGGAGAAAAAAAGAGAGAGAAAACAGCTATAATATGGAAATAACTTTTACTGTACCTTCTGATCACACTGCAAAAAAGTGATGTTCTTCATCAGTATTTTTGTCTTGTTTTTCAGTGCAAATGTGTACATATTCTTAAATCAAGACACACTGAGAAAATGACTTAAGATAATATGTCTTATTTTCTGAGAAATTGGTCAAAATGAAGTGAATTTATGATCAAAACAAGACAAATATCTGCCACTAGGCTCAGAAAAATCAACTTAATTCAAAGGGAAGTTTTCAAACCCCATTGACAGATATTTGTTCTTGTTCTAAGCATAAACTCGCTTAATTTTAAATTTTTTCCCCCCCAGAAAACTGGACTTCAACTAACGTCATTTTGCATCTCCAAGTAAATGTATTTTGTTTTAAGGATGTTTAAAAGTGACCCTGGAGCACAAAGCCAGTCTTAAGTCGCTGGGGTATATTTGTAGCAATAGCCAAAAATACATTGAACATATAAATACATGGGTCAAAATTATTGATTTTTCTTTTATGCCAAAAATCATTAGGATATTAAGTAAAGATCATGTTTCATGAAGATATTTTGTAAATTTCCTACTGTAAATATATCAAAACTTAATTATTGATTAGTAATATGCATTGCTAAGTACTTCATTTTCGATTTTCTCAATATTTAGATTTTTTTGCACCCTCAGATTCCAGATTTTCAAAAAGTTGTATCTCCAAATATTGTCCTATCCTAACAAACCATACATCAATGGAAAGATTATTTATCCAGCTTTCAGATGATGTATAAATCTCAATTCCGAAAAATTGACCCTTATGACTGGTTTTGTGCTCCAGGGTCACAAATTTGTACTGGAAAACGAGACAAAAATACTGAGGAAGACCTTTTTTGCAGTGCATGCAACATTTAAAGGCAGAGTAAGGGATTTCTGGTAGCCAATGTTGATATTTGAAATCACCAAAACAAACACGCCCCTACCCCAAAAGGGTCTTGCCCCTATTTTGATAGCTCCGCCCCACATATACGTACGCAACCCAGGCAACGATTAGTTCTGTGAAAATAAACAAGGCATGTCCACCACAGTAGTTCTAAAAAAATTTTTTTTTTTTAAATTAAACAATACACTGTAAATATAGTATTTAGTATACTATATTTTCATATACTGAGTATATGAACATACTGACAAGAATATCTACAAATAAAAAAAAATTGATTAATATAATGTATTAAAATATATAATATAATATAACTGACGCACAACTTTACAAATATTAAAAGAAAACAAAGGGAACATCTTAAGTAAATTTAGATGAGTTTACAACAATTTTACCCTGGTTTTTCCTTTTCTGTGGTAAAATAAAATAACTACAATAAAATATAAAAAATAAACAATAAATGAATAAATCAATAATAATAAATAAATAAATCCATAAATAAATATATAATAGAGGATATAAACATTATAATATAATATAATATAATATAATAATGCCATTTTTGGCTACACTGCTGCTGTCATGGTTGCTGACAGATCAAACTCTTTTTAAAACTTTTGGTTTTTATAACAGGGCTGTCACGACTGGCTGCTGAACTGAAGCTCATAACAGAACAGCTTGAGGTCTGTGAGCCCTTGAGGAGCTGCTCTCAATCCATGTTGATCTAACACTGAAGCCCAATATCATGCCACTGTTTGCACTTGATAAATAATGCAGCTCACAAATGAGAGTCTTTCTGAGCCATCACTGCCATCCAGTCATCCTGCAGCCATAAATGATAAAAGTTCACCAGCCTAATGGATAAAAACACGAGGATCTGAACTCAGATGGACAGAGATCATCAAATGAGGAACTAGTTTGTATTGTATGCACAGCATAAACGGATTTAATCACATCACACACAACTTTACAAATATTAAAAGAAAACATAAGGGAACATCAGTAGATTCAGATGAGTTTACAGTGATTTTACCATGGTTAAGTGGGACTTCATGCCTAAAAATACCTCTTTTCTGTGTTAAAATCACTGTAATGCTCGACCTCAGTTGGCTTATTTCGTAATTCCTTATTCAATTCCTCTCTTGAAAAATCTGACATACCCAAAGGAGGCATCGGATCTAAGAGAATGAAAGTGAAATATTTCTCTGTGAAGTGAAGTCCTAACAGCAGAGTTCACCACCATTCACAGGAGAAACACTTACGGAGTGAGGAAACCTGGCAGAGACGGGTGAGACAGCAGGACACCTTCTGAGGGACCCTCTTAATTTGTCCTGATTCATTATTGAAAGATGTGTTTGACAGATGGGAATATTTCCCATTTGGACAGGCGGGGTTAATAGGAACGACATGCTCCTCACCCTGAGATGAGGTCTGGGAAAAGAGCATCAATCTAAAGCTCCTTCAGGTGGAGGGACCATTAACTCGCTCGCTAGCTTCGAGCCAACACTCCAAAGCGCACATTAACTGGCTCAATCTCTTGATTGCTGTGCATTTCCCTCGACCCTTCGACATGTTGATTAGACCATCATCACGAAGAATTTAGACAGCCAAAGAAATCTTTGGTTTGAGATACTTAGCAGTAACTAAACCAGGAGCAGAACTGGATATTCCGCTTTATAGATCTTTAAAATAATCAATTACAACTTTTGGACTCACAAAGTCTACATGTCTTCAATATACTATACTATACTATACTATACTATACCATACATAACATAACATAACATAACATAACATAATAATATATAATATAATATAATATAATGCAGATGTGCGGTCTCTTCCTGTCTAAGTAGGCAGTTCTTAGGCAGAATATGTTGAAAGTCAATAGTCTGGTGTGAAGATTGACCGCCTGTGTGTATAATTGCAAACAGGTATTAAAAAGGTATTAAAGAGATAAAGTTAATCAATTCTCCATCAACACAGCATCAACTGCAAATACGTGAATTAATCAGTCAACAAACTAATGGAGAGAGCTTTACTAATCAGCTTGCGCTTATGTGACTGATGCATGCAGGGATTGACTGGAATACACCCAATTTAATTTGCAAAACGCCACATGCTCATTTGTTAAAAATGTAGCATTACGCTGCAAACTGATTAGTGATGAGCCTCTAATTAAGTGCTTTTGTCTTATCTGTGTATGTGTAATTTGCCGCTGTCTTCTGCGCGTTTGCTGTCCCTGAGCCTCAGCGCCCACGTGGCTGCAATTCTCTTTAAATGCGACCAAATGACCACCCTGCTCACCTGTTGCCATGGTAACACGTGAGGGATGGCAGGTCCCCCAGGAAACATGGTTGATACATCATTTAGCTCACATTGTGTTTGACAGAGGACAGCTCGGCTGATTAAGACGGAGACGCACGGAGCTCGACTGAAACCCTAAGCACTGCGCTTCAAGTCCCTGGGAGATGAAATGCAATATTGGATGAGTCTCTGAAGCACACCCTGTCTGATGTCACTCGAGAATCTCACGTCGGCATTGAAAGAGTCTGTTTGTCAGAGTCTCTCTAAAATAATGCATACCTTTAGAAAACACAAGCTGTGATGATATAGATCTATCAAATTAATAATACTGTTCGTTGCATATACTAAAATTGGTAACACCAAACCGTCGGCATCTGAATAACTAAAAGCTGCTTAATCAGATAACTGGATGCTTAACCTGTTAATTCACAACCCTCATCTTATGTCATATATTTGTGAGTGAGAGAGTTTTACTAAAATAAAATAAAATAAAATACCAAAAAATTAAATTAAATTAATAAATAAACTCTTGGTTGAAGTTGGTTGAAAAATACATTTAAAAATAGAGGATCTGTACATAAAATACAAACTTCACATTTTTATTATTGAAGAAAAATAAGATAAAATAAAGTAAATAAATAAAATAAAATAAAATCCTTTTGTTTAAATGGTAGAGTATCGGTAGAGGTCATGGGTTCGTGACCCAGGGAATGCAAAAACCTATGTATAACTTGAATGTAATGCAAGTTTCTTTGGATACATGGATACATCTGCAAAAACAAAAAACAAATCACAAAAAACAAAACAAAACAACTTATAACCAAATAAGTTGTAACCAAACTTATAACCAAAGCCCTTGGCAATAAATCCTGTTGCTCTATGCATAACGTCTGGTGTGACCGCACCATTAGAACTGCACGAAGAATGTTACACAAAACAATCGTGACTTTCAAAAAGATGGATCAATATAGAGGAGGTCACTTAGGGCTGCACGATTAATCGCATGTGATTGTCATGCGCATCTTGTCAGTAAAGCCGGTTCTGTGATTAGTAGTAAATCTCCATCACGTGCAGCGTATTTGAAGTTTACTACTGATCACAGAACCGTGCTTCACTGAGAGATACGCATGACAATCGCAGCTTCTGTCTAATCACGATTTATCGTCTTTGCGATTTAATTTCGATTAATCGTGCAGCCCTAAGGTCACTGAACCAGTACTAGTTTAGTTATTCAGAGATTTAATGCAGAGATTGTGACTTCAGCAGCCACTGAGAAGAAGAAAGAGGGTCTTTGGGTTCACGGCAACAACTTCAGTCCTCTGCATTTCAAAAGGCTGAAACACGCCGTTCCAAACAACAGCGCTGGCATCGCTCCAGTCCCTCCTCTATGAACTTCAAAAGCAGAATCAGACATATTGAAGCAACACATCCTAAGAAACACAAGACGGCATCGCCAGGATTCTCTCGCTTCAAACAACGAGCGCTAATGAGCAACCTAAGACTGCACTCACAATGCAGGACCTGCAGCACAGATACAATGATTTCACATATTTATGATTCTTTTTGACCACTTGAACAAATCAACCTGCACCACACAATGAATAGGTCAGGGAAGTAAATAAATCTGCTAAATAAATAAATCTGTCCAGTGGGAATAGAATAACCGGCTCCCAACACATTTGTAATTGTAATGATAGGAAGATAAATTACTGTACTGTAAGAAATACTCTGGGAAACAAAGTGTTCTTCCTTCCCACACAAACGTTCATTTATTAAACATGTTGAAGGATATAAACTACATACAAACTTAAAACACAAGTTTGGGGGTCAGTAAGACATAAAAAAAAAATAAAAAAAATAATACTTTTATTCACCAAGGATGCATTGATCAAATTGATCAAAAGTGACAGTAAAGACATTTATAATGCAGCAAAGGATTTCTATTTCAAATAAACAGCATATTAGAATGATTTCTGAAGGATCATGTGACAATGAAGACTGGAGTAATGATGCTGAAAATTCAGCTTTAAATCAGGAATAAATTACATTTTAACTAGGGTTGGGTACTGTTCACATTTGAACCGGTACGGTACCGGTATCGGTACATGAATTTCGGTGCCGGTACCCAACAGTACCTTTTTTTGGTACTTTACTCTCTGTGTAATTACAAAAACATTTATTTCAGTGAAAAAATAAGTCCAAAAAGTCCAAAAGTCTCAATTTCAACATTTTGAACAATAGGGCCCTACAAACTTTTTCTTTCTTTCTTTTTCTTTTTTCCCCCCCCCCCAGAAATTCTTGTTTTAATTTTTCTGAAAATCAAATGAAGGCATTAAACATTTATTTTAAATCAAATGAAAATTAAACCCTTTTATTTTTTGTCAAACAAACCGAGGTTTACTGTTGAAATCAATGCATGGAAGAAAAATTGTGTGAATATTCCTTTAAAACATTTTTTAATAGGCTAATAATGGTATTATTTTTTTCTACAATTAAGTGATTAATCTGGTTGTAATATTTATTTTTATCATTTAATTGTTTTATTTACATTCTGATAGAAAATGGAATATTTAAAGATGTACATTATACTGTATAATATATTTCTTTTACATGTTAAACCGTACTTTTATTTTGACAGGTTACCATGAAGTTTCTGTGTGTATACAGTATGATGATGCTAGTTTTCTCAAATGAAACGGTAAAATTCTCGTGAAGTGACTCTCACAGCAGCTCTGGAGATTAAGTTTTTGTGTTCATGCCGTCATATAGTGAGACGCAGAGGCCGAAAATCACCACGAGCGTCACGCATGCTTCGGTATTTGTGTAGTAAAAAAAAAACGCGTTTCGACCATTCATACATACAGAGGCAAGCGGAACATGCAGGATTCATATTTAAACCGTCTTTTTGCATTTTAATATTCACAGACACTAGTTCAGTGTTTGAACGAGTTGCAGGGGTGACATCACGTCACAGGGTCTCTTTCTCTCTCTGTAGCGTATGCGCCCAGATGCGTTCTCAGGTACCGAAATTTGCACCGATTGATTTAACGTGAATCGGTACTCGGTAGTACTGACGCAATTCGGTCGGTACCCTTAAAAGTACAGAGTTCGGTACCCAACCCTAATTGTAACATATACTGTTTCACACAGAAAACAGTTATTTTAAACTGTAATAATATTTCACAATATTACTGTTTTTACTGTATTTTTGATCAAATATATACAGTCTTGGTGAGCAGAAGAGGCATCTTTCATGAAATTATCATTAAAACATTTTTTAAAAAATGTACGACCCCAAACTTTTGAATGGCATTTCAGTTCTGCACCTTGTTTGCTACAATTAAAATTCAGGAATCAGACTGGAATCAGAACTTTAAAAGGCATTTTGAATTGTTTTGAATGGTGCTCAAGAAGTCTGAAAAACGCTGAAGTGTTTAAAGGGGTCATATGATGTTGCTAAAAAGAACATTATTTTGTGTTTTTGGTGTAATACATAAACACATGTGTTTATGCGGTTTAAGGTTCAAAAAACACATTATTTTCCACATACTGTACATTATTGTTTCTCCTCTACACTGTAAAAAATGATCTCGCATTTTAGTTGTTTCGATGATTTTTTTTAAGTTGACACAACTTGCAACTTCTGAATTTGTTCATTCAACTTAACATTTTAAGTTTTCACTGTCTCAACTAGTTTGTAAGTTGACTGAACTAGAGTATTTGTCTTTCTCAGTCAACAAATTTAGTAAGTAAATGTTTGTATTTATTGGTTTAATATGTGTAAAAATATGTATGTTGTCTAAGAAGAGTACAAGTATGGTTTACAGAGACGTATTTTCTAGTTAAATGTATGCCAGTGTTAGTTTCGCGGCACTATGAAGCCTCAAAAATACACGCGGTTCCACAGTATTTTCCACATAAATATTATAATAAATATTCTCTAATGTGGTACTGAGCTGAATTTATCTGGAGAACGATAAAAATACAGTTTGATATATATTTGAGCCCAGTGCTGCGTTAGAGACTGTTCAAACAGCGCGACACGGAGCACAACAACAGACAACTGTAACTTATGAATTTAGAGGATGTGGACAATTCTCATAATGCCTGATGGAGATGATGCCTTTGACTACTCTGTGGTGCTGGAGGAACAGATTGTCCTGAGAGATGTCAAAGACCTCCCTCATGCTGTAGCTCTACTAGTCGGGCAGATTTTTGCACTTAATATTGATTACCCCGAAAAAATACGCTACACATTTGAGGTAATTCAAGATTTTCATTTACCTTGGAGGTGATCAGTGGTTCTCTGTGAAGGTGCATGTTGTGCACCTTTTTGTTGTTCATGATTTGTCTTGTGAATTTCTGGTTATTGGTTTTTTAAAAACAATGAATGTTTAATTAATTTTTTCTTGACATGGTACTTTATGCCGTACCAATGTATGTAACTGAATATAAAAATATC